GAAACCCTCTCAGGGCAGGAAGCGGGGAAACCCTGGGATTCTGTTCACGTCTGAGGGACCCTGGGCTCCTGTTCCCAAGCCCAGGGTTCTGCAGGACGACTGTGTCGTGTGCGTTTCAGGTGGGACGGCGAATCTCGTCGCCTTCCCTTATCTTGTGTGGTGCTCTGTGCTTGCAGGTGTGAGCCTGGAGACAGCATCGGTTTACATTTCCATTTGCTGTTCTCATATGATTATACCAGCATCAGTTTTATTTGTTTTTATTCTTCATGTAGACTATATCTACCCATTCTCTTGCTGCCAGTTTGAGGTAACTGCAAATGGAGCTGCTATGAACACTGCTGTGTGCGTGTTTTGGCCGCTGCGTGGTCCATCTTGTGTGATGAATACCTAGGGGCAGAGGAGCCACTTGAGTGCTCAGCTCCAGAGACGCACCTGGGGCCAGTGCTGTGGCGCCGCGGGCAAAGCCACCACCTGCAGTGCCGGCATCGCAGATGGGCACCTCTTTGAGTCCTGGCTGCTCCACTTCCAATCCAGCTCTCTGCTATGACCTGAGAAAGCAGTGGAAGATGGCCCAAGTCCTTGGGCCCCTGCACCCACGTGGGAGACCTGGATGAAGCTCCTGGCTCCTGCTTCAGATCGGCCCAGCTCTGGCCATTGCGGCTAATTGGGGAGTGAACCAGCAGGTGGAAGACCTCTTCCTCTCTCTCTCTCTCTCTCTCTCTCTCTCAACTCTGCCTTTCAAAAAATAAATAAATCTTTAAAAGAGAGAGAGAGAGAGAGAGAGAGAGGCACCTGGGAAGCAGCAGCAGATGCTCCCAGTACTCGTGTCCCTGCCACCCACATGGGACACCCGGATGGAGTTCCAGGCTCTAGCCCAGCCCAGCGCAGCCCTGGCTGCAGCAGGCACTTTTGGAGTGAACTAGTGGATGGAAGATCCCCCCCCCTCTCTCCCTCTCTCTCTCTCTCTCCCCCCTCCCACTCCAACTCTTCCTTTCAAATAAATAAACCAAATCTTAAAAAATTAAAAAGAAAGCCATGCCGACTTCACACGAGAGATTCCCTAATGCCTCTCCCAAAGGCTCCCTGTTCCTTCCTCTTCGTCAGAGCAGCGGCGGTGCCGTGAGATGCTCTGTGAAACCTGAAGCTCCTCCTGGCTCCCATGCAGGTGTCCGATCCCCATCCAGCCGCCAGGCACTGCCGAGGGACCCGAAGTCCCGGCTCCAGGGCAGGGCACGGCGGCGGCTCTGACCCGCCTGGAGGCCCCTCCCGCCGCCCTGAGACCAGCTTATCGGCCAGCAGCACAAACAGCCTTCGGCCCCTTCCCCGCTCTGCAGTGTCACTGCTCTCGTTGTTCGAAAGTTTATAAATAACAGGCTGGAGTTCCCTTCGGCCGGCGGCCCTGGCGGGGAGTCTTGACTTCCTGCTTGTCGTTTCCAACTCTACACACGCGTGTTCTTAATAAAAATATGAACCTCAATGAAGTTAAGCGGCTGTGAGTCACGCCCACGTCTGTCCGTCCATCTGCAGCCTCCTAGCGCTTCCTGAGTAGAGCAGGGGCGGAGGGACCCAGTGCACCTGCGCCGGGCAGGCGGCAGGGTCTCCTTCACTGAAGAGCTGCCTGCAACCTACGCGCATGCGTATCTTACTCTTTCTACTAAAGACGGCCAAGGGTTTCCCGCCCTTTGTCTCACCTTATCCACGAGTGAAACCAAGGGAGCTTCTAAAATACAATCATTTGCCACGTCGCAGGGGTGGGTGGAGGCTGAGCAAATGCTCCGTGACGCGTGTTGTAGGAGCAAGGGGAGCCCGTCTGGATAGAACCATCTGGAAAGAGCCACTCACGCTCCGCAGCCGGGCCCTGTCTTCCGACTATATTGGGTAGTTCCGGCAGAGCCGCAGCCCGGCGCCGGAGCAGGGTCAGAATCGCGGTGCTCTTGGGATTCACATCTGCCCCCTGCGCCGCGGAGTAAGTGGCACACACAATGCGTCCACCACAGGCTCCTCGGAGAGGCCAGCGGCCAGCCTCGGCATCCGCACAACCGTCAGAGAGGCCAGCGGCCAGTCTCGGCATCCCCATGGCCGTCAGAGAGGCCAGCGGCCAGCCTCGGCAGCCCTGTGCACGCCCGTCACAGAGGCCAGCGGCCAGCCTCGGCATCCGCATGCCCGTCAGAGAGGCCAGCGGCCAGCCTCGGCAGCCCTGTGCACGCCCGTCACAGAGGCCAGCGGCCAGCCTCGGCAGCCCTGTGCACGCCCGTCAGAGAGGCCAGCGGCCAGCCTCGGCTTCCGCACGCCCGTCAGAGAGGCCAGCGGCCAGCCTCGGCAGCCCTGTGCACGCCCGTCAGAGAGGCCAGCGGCCAGCCTCGGCAGCCCTGTGCACACACACGAGGCTGCCACGCGCAGATTAACGGCGCTGTCCCTGGGGAACTCACTGAACACGGTGGTCTAATCTTTCGGCTGCTCGCTGCTGAAGGCTCGCTGCTGAAGACGAGGAGTGGAGCTGGGGCGGCAACAATTCAGTCCTGATCTCTCTAAGTCGTGAAAACAGGTGATAGCAACCCTACGTCTTGTGTTCGGATCAGGAGAAACGGACTTTTTTTTCCCTCCCAAATTCTTTGCGTTTCCAGGAGGAGACCAAGCTCCAGAGACGCACACGGCTAAGCCCCTCCTAGCCCGTCCACAGCACAGGGCGGCCACACCTAGCTCAACAGATGTTCTTATACATCAGCTGTACTGGAACAGGGCCACACTCAGCCACCTACATACCACCTACCTCTGCATTCAGGCCACAGAAGCAGAGTTACTGCGCTAGGCTTTGCAGCTGAAAAACCCCAGAGTGCTCACAGTGCCCCTTAAAAGAGAGGCGGCCGACCCGGGTTTTCATGAGCACTGCTGAGTTTCCAGCCTTGCAGGAAGGAACGGATGCCATCACCGCCGGCACGGTGCTGCCACCAGGGGCTGCAGAACAGGCCCCGGATGGCAGCCAGGGGCTCACAAGCTCCGGTGAGGCATCCAGAGTGTGCACCCGCCCCCTCCTCCTGGGCAAACAGCGGTGACACTGGCAGCCAACGCACGTGTATCTGGCACTCTCAGATGCACATCCTCCAAGTCAAGGAATGGATAAACACACACACACACAAATACATGAAACTCGACCTTTCTTTCTACCGCAAAGTTCTTAATACTGGCTTGATAAAGGGGGTACCATTTGGACAGGATACTCAGAGCAGCTCAGAAACCCCCCTTCCCTCCACCTCTCAGAACACCTTAAGAAAGAGGAAGGTGGAACCCATCTGGGGACCAATCCCAGGCTGTGTGTTCGTATCCAGGTCATCTGGAAAAATGAGAGCGAGCGAGCGAGAGAGAGCGAGGAAAGTAAAATGGTCGCCTGTGAATTAGCTTCAGTTACGATGATGGCACCCACCAGAGCGAGGGGACAGCAGCAGCAGGCGGGAGGAGGAACTGGTATTGGGATCAACGACCCTATCCCTCCAGATGTGAATAAATGATGCACCTTCACAGCACAGACCCGCAGCGGTCCCTGCTGTGCTGCGACGCGGTGATGCAGTGAGGCGACCAGGTGTGAAACTCCAAGCAAACCCAACAACATGATGCTCAGGCCTCAGCCAGGCTTTGCACTCCATCTGCCAGTCAATCAACAAGCATTTCACTGTGCACCTGCCACTCGCAGGCCATGGAGCTGGGAGCATGGCGGGACCGGCAAGACCCCACACTCACAGAACAGACAGCTGAGCAGGGGATGCAGGCCAAGAGGCGGGAACACAAGAAACAGACCCATCACAGGAGAAGGCAGAGACCCTTCCAGGAAGGACCCTGGGTGGGCAAAGCCACGCACCTCTCTTCTCAGACGCCCCTCTCTGGCCCTGAGCAACTCTGTTGCACTGAGGAGCAAGCCTCTGCCTTCCTCCTGGGAGCCCGGATGTCACACAGGGAGACACCAGGGGCTCCCGGGTAGCAGTCGGTGAGGTGGGGGCTACTCAGTCACATCCTGCATCTGTGTCTAAGGAAACGCTGCTCAGGCACCTGCCCCACTGCAGGTCAGCATGAGGCTCAGGGCTGGACGGTCCCTGCTGTGACCCACACAGCCCCAGGGACACCATGGCTGGAGCTGTGCACCTGCCCTACACACGGGTGGACGGTCCCTGCTGTGACCCACACAGCCCCAGGGGGACATGGCTGGAGCTGTGCACCTGCCCTACACAGGGGTGGACAGTCCCTGCTGTGACCCACACAGCCCAAGGGACACCATGGCTGGTGCTGTGCACTTGCCCTGCACAGGGGTGGACAGTCCCTGCTGTGACTCCCACACAGCCCCAGGGACACCATGGCTGGAGCTATGCACTTGCCCTACACTGGGCTGGACGGTTCCCTGCTGTGACCCACACACAGTCAAGGGGGACCATGGCTACTGTGCACCCACCCCTCCCAATGCCCTTTGCATCTTTCTCCCCTCAACCAGTGGCCCAGGAGTGTGGCCTGTGGGGACTGAGCCAAGGCTTCTTGTCTTTTGTCTCCTGGTTGGGTTCAGCCAAAGGGAGTTCCCAACAGGAGATGGGCGTGGGAGGAAGGATGGGCCCACGTTCCCCCTCCCTGACTCCTCCCTGCCCCCCTCCCTGCCTGACTGCCACTGGCAGTGGCTGTCCTGCAATCACTGGCCTTAGTCCCCTGTTAGGGGCTCTCTTCTCTCACCACCCCTCCCCTTGACCTTGACGGTACCCTTGGAGGGGGTCAAAGCTCCACACTGATGCCCCCTTGCACAGTGCCTTCTCTGAGTCCTGCCCAGGCCTTTGTGGAGTCTGCTCCCAACCTTGCCTCAGCTGCCGCTCTACAGGGACACGGGGCAGAGCCTCACTGTGGGCACAGCTTCATCTTTAAGTCCAAGGCCAAGGCGGGATGGGAAGGTACTGTCCAGGTGGCCCCCCTACGCCCCCTCCCCCAGAACTGGCGGTGGCTGCAGGAGCCGGCTCTAGGCGGCCGCTTACCTTTCTGTGGTCCGTGGAGGGCTGCGAACAGATGAGCGGGAGCCCAAGCAGCAGGAGGGAGCCCAGGACTCTGAGGAGGAAGCACAGCAGGCGGGGCCGTGAGCGTGTCGCCCAGCAGGAGGCGCACTGCCGGGTCACGACCACGGGAGAAGGGTCTGAGCCAACCCTGGACAGACGTGGTGGAGCCCCCACAGGAGGCCGTCACGTGGAGGGCTGGCCACGGGACAGACGTGGTGGAGACCCCACAGGTGGCCGTCATGTGGAGGACTGGTCACCCACAGGAAGCCGTCACGTGGAGGGCTGGCCATTCATAGGAGGCCGTCACATGGAGGGCTGGCCACGGCACAGACATGGTGGAGACCCCACAGGAGGCCGTCACATGGAGGGCTGGTCACCCACAGGAGGCCGTCGCGTGGAGGGCTGGCCATTCATAGGAGGCCGTCACATGGAGGGCTGGTCACCCACAGGAGGCCGTCATGTGGAGGGCTGGCCACGGGACAGACGTGGTGGAGACCCCACAGGTGGCCGTCATGTGGAGGACTGGTCACCCACAGGAAGCTGTCACATGGAGGGCTGGCCATTCATAGGAGGCCGTCACATGGAGGGCTGGTCACCCACAGGAGGCTGTCATGTGGAGGGCTGGCCACGGGACAGACGTGGTGGAGACCCCACAGGAGGCCGTCACGTGGAGGGCTGGTCACCCACAGGAGGCCGTCGCGTGGAGGGCTGGCCATTCATAGGAGGCCGTCACATGGAGGGCTGGTCACCCACAGGAGGCCGTCATGTGGAGGGCTGGCCACGGGACAGACGTGGTGGAGACCCCACAGGTGGCCGTCATGTGGAGGACTGGTCACCCACAGGAAGCCGTCACATGGAGGGCTGGCCATTCATAGGAGGCCGTCACATGGAGGGCTGGTCACCCACAGGAGGCCATCACGTGGAGGGCTGGTCACCCACAGGAGGCCGTCGCGTGGAGGGCTGGCCATTCATAGGAGGCTGTCACATGGAGGGCTGGTCACCCACAGGAGGCCATCACGTGGAGGGCTGGTCACCCACAGGAGGCCGTTGCGTGGAGGACTGGCCACGGGACAGACCTGGCTGCCGTCTCCACACCTTTCCCCACAGGGCATCCAAGTCAGGACAATCATTCTCTAGGAGCCCAGTCCCCCTCCCCGGGAGTGGGGACAGCAACAGATGCTAGAGAGTAGGTAGGGGAAGACAGGGCAGGCCACCCCCTGTGCTTGACAAGAGTAAGTCCTGGGGGTGATGGTCACTGCCCCTCCACCCTCCATGGTCCCCCGTGGGTGGCACAGCTGTGTGGAGCCCTGCTGGCCCCAGCCCTGACTGAGGCCTGTCACCAAATCCAGGGACGGCGTGGGTGGGAGCAGCGGGCCCAGGACAGCAGCGCGTGCTGGAGAGGACATGCGACCTTGGGATCCCAGCGCCACACAGAGCGGCCCTGGGTGACTTTGGCTCCCGGAGCGGCCACGCCCCAGGCTCCGGGAGGACCGCTCAGGTGAGCGGATGCTGCCTAAGACCTGGCCTCCGATCAGCAGCGCCTTACTGAGGGCCTCCTGCAAAGAGGCCCACAGCTTCTGACCTTTGTCCACAGCTAACCTCAGGAATGCGGAAGTCCACATCTGGTTTGTGGTGGTTTTGAAAGGCAGAGAGAGAACTCCCTTCTGCTGGTTCACTCCCCAAATACCTACAACAGCTGGGACTGAGCCAAGCCAAGCAGGGAGCCCAGCGCTCAGTCCAGGTCTCCCACACGGGTGGCGGCAGGGACCCAATTACTCGGGCCGTCAGTGGTGCTTCCCAGGGTGTGCATTAGCAGGGCCGGGAAGCGAACCCAGGCACTCCGATGCGGGGACGTGGTGTCCCGATCAGCATCTTCTAAAATGTTCATTTCTTTTTCATTTTAATTTGGAAGACGGGGAGGAAGAGACAGAGAAACAGGCCGATGAAGAGACTTTCCGTCTGCTGCTTCACTCCCCAAATGCCCACAACAGCCAGGACGGGGCCAGGCTGGAGTCCAACCTGGGGCTGCCACATGGGTTGTGGGGACCCAACTGCTCGAGCCTCCAGGGTGTGCATGAGCAGGAAGCTGGACTCGGAAGTGGGACTCACACAGGATACTCCTCCATGGATCATGCAAGGCCCAGGAGGAGATGTGACCGCTGCACCCCACACCTGCCCCTTAGCCGGCATCTTATCCTGCAGACAACACCCAGCTCTCAAACTTTTTGAGGCCTCTAGCACAACTGAGAGACATGAAATCGCCCCACCCAGGGAGGACACAGGAGGGGTGACGAGGAGGAGAGCCCACAGACATCTGAGGCTTCCCCCTCCCATCTGAAGATCCCAGGACCCGCCCTACCCCACGTTGATGCTAATGAGCAGGTGCCCCCAGCAGGCCTAGAGAGCCTGCACGTGATGAGACCTGGAGCCCAGGGACCCACGTGTCCTGAGGTGCAAACGCATGGGCTGCCACAGAGCTGGGGACCACAGCGGCCGTCACAGACCTAGGGTAGACCTGCAGCGGGTGCTCCAGCCCACACCTCCTCCCACCTGTCACACGGGGGCTGGACCAGGGCAGAAGTTTGCAAGGCAGAGATGTCCTTGGAGAGGCGGGGCGCCAGGCAGGACCCTGCGGGAAGGACAGGGGGAGGTCCCGCACACCACGCAGGGGGCAGCGTTCCTGGGACGCACCTGGAGGGCTTGCTGGTGTTTGGAGACCCAGCCGGCTGGGTGTCTGCTGGGGGCACTGAACGAGGTAGGTGGGAGGGAGCGCCAGTATTTCTTGAGCTCCTTGTTCCCCAGGAACAAGGGCAGCACGCTGGCCTCGGGCTCTCCAGGAAGAACCCCACCCAGGCAGGCTGCTCACCAGGGAGAGGCCACCCCCACGAGGCAGATGCGTGGCCTCTGCCCTGCTGTGCAGGAGCTGGGGGCAGGGGCTGCCAGGGGCCAGGCAGCTCAGGCACAGCCACGCGGGAGACCCTCCGTGATGGGGACATACCCCAAGGACCAGCAGGAGAGGAGAACCCGGACGCGGATGCCTGCCGGCCCAGGACAGCACCAGTAACCCTACCCCGACACCCACAGTGACACACACTTTTGGAGGGCTTAGCTTAAAAATGACACCGTTGGTCAAACTGGCATGGGGCCACAGAAGCTGCCCCAGACCCGTCCCCCGCATCTGGGCAGGAGCCTCGAGGACAGCAGGGTCTCCGGACAATGCTGGGAGAGGAGGCTGCTTCCCCCGAGTGCCCTGGCCAGACCCAGTCTATCCTCTTCCTGGGGTGCCCATGAAGGCCTGGACATCACTGGGTCAGGCCCTGCCAAGGCAACCTCAGGCGGGACTCAAAATCCAACCACACTACAGCAGGCTGATTTCTAAGTCGGTAACTCCGCATGGCCCAGGAGTGATGCTATCCATACCCAAACAGGCCCTGGCAGGAAACGAGGTCCCCAGCCCTCCATCAGCACCACGGCTCCTTGGCTGCAGGGCCTCGGGCCGATCACCACCTCCCCCGGCCTCAGTCTCCTCATCTGTAAAAGGGGTGCAGAGGAACCTGCCCCACTGCTGCAAGCCAGAGGAGATGCAGAGACCCAGGCAGGAGCTGGGGCCTGCAGGTGGGAGTCGCCTACAGCCCTGTGGGCATGGCCAGCCCCTTCCAGGAAAGCCGAGCGCTGTGGTTTTGTTAATCTCACACCTGGCAGCCCGGGGGCATGCGCCCCTCGGCCCCCAGGGCTCTGGGCCCCCACACGCTGTGCTGCCGTGGGAAGCAGCACTGCGGAACTGAGCACCCCAGGTGGCCTGGGCAGCAGGCCGGGAGGCTACCGACCTCAGCACCTGCACGCCGGGCTGCCAGATTTGCTCCGTGGTCCTCAGGGCTCCGGTCTCCCCAGGCCCACCTGACCCGACCTGAACCATGTCCTCTCTTCTGCCCGCCTCTCCTCCTTCACAGTACCTACTTCCTCCACACAGATCCCTCCCATGCATGACACTGCCACGCATGTCATTGCCACACACACCACTGCCACATGTGTCCCTCCCACGCATGTCCCTCCCACACACATCACCGCCACATGTGTCCCTCCCACACACATCACTGCCACATGTGTCCCTCACACGCATGTCCCTCCCACACACATCACCGCCACATGTGTCCCTCCCACACACATCACTGCCACATGTGTCCCTCCCACGCATGTCCCTCCCACATGGGTCTCTCCCACACACACCATTGCCACACGTGTCCTTCAGGTGTGTCCCTCCCACATGGGTCTCTCCCATACACATCACCGCCACATGGGTCCCTCCCACACACACCACTGCCACATGTGCCCCTCCCATGCATATCCCTCCCACATGGGTCTCTCCCACACACACCATTGCCACACGTGTCCTTCATGTGTGTCCCTCTCACATATGTCCCTGACATGTGTCCCTCCCACATGTGTCCCTCCCACACACATCACTGCCACGTGTCCCTCACACGTGTCCCTCCCACACACATCACCGCCACATGGGTCCCTCCCATGCGGGTCCTTCCCTGCAGTGTCCCCCACCCACAGAACCCAAGTTTCAGGGTCAGGGAGTTTATCTGTCACCATTTATTCCCAGCAACTAGCAGAGGGCCCGCACCTGTCTGAGAGTGGGATTCGGGGAACTGCAGCACGGTGCTTCCGCAGCGTCGGGATCTCTGAAACGCCAAGACAGCCGAAGAGTGCGAACCCAGCAGCCAGAATCTCCAGAGGCACTCAGAACCCTGCCGGTTCTTACTGGGCGATGTACAGCGTCAGAGTGACAGCCCCAGGAACCACCCTCATAGGACTCACGTGAGGAGGCGGACACACCGTGTGATGGTGGCTCTTGTCACACAGCTGCCAGACACATGTAGTGCCGCACACCTGCCACACGTGACACGTATGGTCACACAGCTGCCAGACACATGTAGCGCTGCACACCTGCTCACATGTTACACAGATAGTCACACAGCTGCCAGACACATGTAGTGCTGCACACCTGCCACACGTGACACATATGGCCACACAGCTGCCAGACAC